AAATCATGAATAAAATACAAATTTGTTTAAAAGTATTGAACTCAGACAATTCTTGACTTTTGAAGCTGAAACTACTCCCAAGGAAGAGCAGACTTCTAAGCTGTTCAGGTTAGTTTGTTGGTGACCAAGTTTCATCAATCAGCAAGTGGCTAAAAGGGGTCCAGGGAATGACAAATTGGGATGACAGGATATGCAACACAAGAAGAAAGGTAGAGACAGAAGGACAGCGCTTTGAATAGCTATGAGGAGAGGACTCAGAAGGAGGGAAGAACATACTTTCGAAGCGGTTGGCAGCTGTCTACCAGCACACCGCAGTGCACACCATTTTCTCCCCCAGAAAGGCCAGTTTTAGTTGCAGGTGTTTCCTTTAGAGCTAAACTTAGAAAATGAAATAACTTGCCGGGCGCAGTGGCTCACGCCTGTAATCCCAGCACTTTGGGAGGCCGAGGTGGGCGGATCACGAGGTCAGGAGATCGAGACCACCCTGGCTAACACGATGAAACCCCGTCGATACCAAAAATACAAAAAATTAGCCGGGCGTGGTGGCGGGCTCCTGTAGCCCCAGCTACTCGGGAGGCTGAGGCAGGAGAATGGCGTGAACCCGGGAGGCGGAGCTTGCAGTGAGCCTAGATCGAGCCACTGCACCCCAGCCTGGGCGACAGAGCGAGACTCCGTCCCCCCTCCCGCCGCCAAAAAAAAAATCAAAAAAAAGAAAAAAAGAAAGAAAATGAAATAACTCAAACTCATCAGTTCATCAGAACTAAGGAATAAGTATTGTAATTTTGTTACTAGTTTTTAAAACACTTTTACATTTTGAGAAAAACAAGATGCAGTTTATGCAAATAAAGCAAAAGCCACAATACTAAGCAGCTTCCTTTTCCTCATCCCTAACACCAAAAGTTGAAATTTTGAGAGAGATAATTCAAAGCTATGGTAGCAAATTCGGTCTCAAAGAAAAGACAAATTAAGAAAGCTATGCTAAAAATTAATAATGTTGTAAACAACTATTTTATTTAGAAAACACTTCTTTGCTTACTTATAGGAAAACCTTTTAAAATGAGAAATGGTACACAAGTCATCTGGTGAAGGAACCTACTACACTAGTATTCTAAGCACTCTACTGTACTTCAAATATATTTGCTTGATATCCCTCCATAATATTTTCTCCTGAAATATATTAGAAAAGTGTTAAAATAGAATGAACAAGCAAGACATATCTTGAACATAGCAGAAACTGAGAAGAAAAAAAACCAGAAGCATTTTCTCTCCTAGATCTTCCAGCCGGCTGCCAGATGGTAAGCAAAAGTGTAACTATGAGACCTGCAATGCAGTAAGGTGCCGAGAGCTCCTTCCTGCCTTTTTTGTTCAGGTAACCAGAGTTTAAACTTGTGTCCCTAGTAATAACTAACATCTCCATTACATTAATACCAGCTACATCCCCATGGGAAAATGTTCCATGTTCCTTATTAACCAATCCCAAGGGGGAATCCTGGGGGTAAAACAAGAGAAACAACTATAGTAGGTGTGTGTGTGTGTGTGTGTTTTTTCTTTTCTGAAAAAAAAAAGTATTATATTCAAGGTAATTAACAAAATGTTTACAATAAAGTCTACATTTGATCTTAGCCAAAAGACTGAGAAGCAATGCAATAAAGTCTATATATGGCTTTCTATTTTTCTTTTTTAAAATTTTACTGTAGGAAGACATTGATGTAAAATAAGCCAATTCACACTATCAGTTTAAGTGATAATAGCACTGCAACTGGCAAAACAAGTATGGCAGATATTTTAAAAATAGAAAAGTATATATGGTATAATGGGATATCAGTTCTTAAAATACCTATGCCTTATAAACCAAAGCTCAAGGTAAATACACCAAAATCTGTATCACGGCCTTTTCTAAGCAGGAGGATTATGAGAGATTTGGATTTTGTTCATATTCCACATATTGAACAACCATTGTATTACTTTTATGATCAAGAAGAAAATCATTTAAAAAAATGTTTCCAGTGGTAAAGAATATGTGTGTGAACAAAGAATAGCTTGGAGGTTCTAAGAAGCATATCCTTTTTTCAAATAGTGGAAAAATCAAATGATGCAAAACAGCCTGATTCCTTTTTAGTGTAGCAAAAACACCCAAGTTTCAGAGTCAGAAGACCTGGACTTGAATCAGGGTTCTTTCATTTTCTAGATAAGTCATTGAAGCTTTTTTTGAATAAGTCATTGAAGCTTTAAGAATCTTTATAAAATATATTTCAAAGTATTCAAACCAAATCAAGAAATAGATGAAAACTAGAAAAATTCCTCTCATTAACACAAAAAAATCATATGCCAGAAAGATAATAATCTGTAGTTGAAAAAACTGAGAAGTAGATACTTGATTTCTCTGAGACCTCAATTATCTTCATCTGTAAAATAGGTATAAATAATTGGTGCCACCACTTCCAGGGCTGTTGTGAAGAATAAATGAGTTGATGTTATGTCAAGTGCCTGATACACAATAGATGCTAAAAAACTATAGTCCAGACCTTGCACAAGGATGCAAATGGTGGTGGGGAAAGGGCTTGCACTTCAAACAACTTCTGGTTCCTAACTAAGGAAAAGATGAATTACACAGGTCAAGGATTGTGGTTCTAAGATTTTTCTAAGATTCTGAAACATTTTAAACCTCATGTTTTGTAATTTTTGTTAGCTACGAAGTCGGCTTTAAGGATTAAAAAAAATCTTGAAATGAAAAACAAAGGAGTTTTCCTTAGGATCATCAAAAGTAAAGAAAAATTACCCCAAATTTGATCTGGGATTGAACCTTTGCCTGATATAATTTGTAAATTTTTCTTGGAAGAAGTAAGTGTTCTAGATTAAAAAAATAAGTAATTTTTGGATAAGAAATTTTCTGGGGAAATGAGCTCCCTTCCCACCCACTGTCAGTCAAGAATTTAGTAACCTTTAAATAAAATTACTCTTCTCTTTGTGTCTTTTTGAGACATACTCTATCACCCAGGCTGCAATGCAGTGGCACGATCATGGCTCACTGCAGCCTGCTTCTCCTCTCCCATCCCCCAGAGCTCAACTGATCCTCCCTCCTCAGCCTCCAGAGTAGCTGGGACCACAGGTACATATGCCCGGCTAATTTTTGAGTGTGTGTATATTTTTAGTAGAGATGGGTCTCACCATGTTGCTCAGGCTGATCTCCAATTCCTGAGCTCAAGTGATCCACCCACCTCGGCCTTTTTTTTTTTTTTTTTTTTTGAGATGGAGTCTCATTCAGTCTCCCAGGCTGATCTCGGCTCACTGCAACCTTCACCTCCTGGGTTCAAGCGATTCTCCTACCTCAGCCTCCCAAGTAGCCGGGATTACATGCGCGCATCACCACACCCAACTAATTTTTGTATTTTTAGTAGAGACGGGTTTTCGCCATGTTGGCCAGGCTGGTCTCCAACTCCTGACCTCAGGTGACCTGCCCGCCTCGGCCTCCCAAAACAAAGTGCTGGGATTACAGGCACGAGCCACTGCACCTGGCCGGCCACTTATCTTTTCTCTGTAAATGTCTCTGCTGAGAGAAATTTTGGAATTGGCTTTGATCTTGGAGCATGATTGTAATTAAGCTTTGATATATGCCCATAATTAAATTGTTATGGGCACATGTCCACAATAAATTGTTATTGTTGTTAACCAAGGAAGGAGAGATTGTTATTCCTACTGAACCAGTCCAGTGGGAGAAGAGCCCCAGGGAGCAGAGGAGGTGGTGGTGGCTAAAGGAGAGCCCCAGAAGACAAGTGCACCCAGAGATTGATGGACCTGGAGGCTGAATAGCAAAAGGCTTCTAGTACTCAGCTATCAAATAGGAGCGCATTATATACAGCACCTGCTTTGCAGGCCTTGCTGTGGTAGGGCCTATTGCACAAATTAGGGGTTTTTGTAGAGCTGTGGCAGGAGAGGGTGTCAAGTGTTAGATATATCTGAAGATTCAACACAATGAATGAATGGAACAGCATTGGAGTTTGGTTTTGTTTGCATATCTCAGCCAATCAGACTATCAGTTTACTATACAGAAAACAACCTCAGGGAATGGTTTAAAAGATACCATCTAATTTTAGATACCCTTCACTTTTTTCCTCCCAATTTCACCAAGAAATTCAGATTTAGATTAACAATAGAAAAGAAATCACATTTAAGAGTTTTATATCTTTATATAACAGAATAAAACTTGCCCAACCTGATTAACCCTTTCTATCCGCCCCACCTTCCCAATCCCTCCCTCCTTTCCTTTGGTAAGGTAAGTCCCTACTCCTTAAGTCTTTTGAACTCAGTCCTCTCTCTCGATCCCACACATTGGACAATGAAGCAGGATGTGAGTCCTTTGAAGTTTAACCTTTCATATTTGTATGCTTTCCCTCAAATTCAGTGTAATTCCTTTTTTTCTTTTTGACAACTTTTACATCTAAACAAACCAAAAAACCCAAAACTCCTGCAATGCCTAAAACAGTGTCTTGCACCTAACACACTACCCAAGAAAAAAAACTGTTATGAATATCCAACTCCAGCCAGAGCCGTGACTCACGCCTGTAATCCCAGCACTTTGGGAGGCCGAGGCGGGCGGATCACTTGAGTCCAGGAGTTCGAGACCAGCCTGGCCAACACGGTGAAACCCTGTCTCTATCAAAAATACAAAAAATTAACCGGGCGTGATGGCACACACCTGCGGTCCCAGCCACGCTGGAGGCTGAGGTGGGAGGATCGCTTGGGCCCGGGAGGTAGAGGCTGCAGTGAGCCAAGATCGCGCCACTGCACCCTAGCCTGGGCGACAGAGCGGTGCCACCGTTTCAAAAACAAAACAAAACAAAACAAAAAAAATTCCTATTCCATTCCCTTATCACTGGCTTTCCCCCTCCTCACTTAACTCCCGCCCCCCGCAACAGCGACTGGATCTAAAAACAAAGCCCTTCCCAGACCCCGCGGGACGGCGCGCGGGCAGCCGGCTGCGGACAGCTTTGCAGCCGGAGCCCGGCGCCCTCTCTGAGCTCTCCAGGGCCCGGGGATCCCAGACTTCGCCTACAGCGGGTAGGGCCGGAGCCGCTTCGCGCCGCGCCGTTCCTCGGTGAAACCCGCCAGCGCCTGCGGACGGACCCCAGAGGGTCCGGCGGAAGGTCGGTTTCCGGGGGCCGGGACGAGAGGACTAGGACGCCGCTCGCTCCTGCAGCTCCCGAAGCCGGCTTCGCGGGGCCGGCGGCGGCTGGGTAGGGACCGACCGCCACGAAGCTACTGCCACGTCAGGGCAACTTCACAAATCCCGGACGAGGGCGGGTGACGCAAGCAGGGCGGCCGCGACGGGGCTGGGCCTGCGGCTACCGGAGGAGGCTGACCTCCAGCCCGGGCGCCGGGTTCAGCGACGCCCCGGCCGGCGCCGGTGCCTGCCAGGCACTCAGGGAGGCGGGGGCGCAGCGGAGGAGGCGGCGCCATCGCGAAGCCAGCGCCTCGCCAGCACTCAACCTTGCTACCCGCCCGCAGTCCGGGCTGGACTGGGCGGCATTTGCCAAGGCTCCTCGGCCAGGCCCCGTCCGCCCGAGCCGCGCTGAGACCTGGGCAGCGGCCGCGTGGAGAGGAGGTGGCAGCTGCCCGGGAGGCCGGAGCCAGGCCAGCGACCCGCCATGGAGACCCGCTACAACCTGAAGAGTCCGGGTGAGCAGGGCTGGGGCCCCTGGGCTAGGACGGCGGAGTGACCCTGGACCCCGGGGCGGTCGCCGCGGTGCCCTCACGTCTGGCGCCACTCGCGGCTCAGCTCCTGGTTTCGCGCTCTACGCGAGACCGCCGCCTGCCCGGGAAGTGCAGGCCGCAGGGCGGGGTGGCCGGGCGGACGCCCGCTGCCAATCCCCCGGCCGGCCAGCGCCCCGCAGACCCAGCCTCCCCCTTTTCTCGTCTTCGTCCGGTCCCTTAGAGCTGGGTCAGAAACTCATCCCTGAGAACAGGTGTAAAGGTGATGTGGGTGGGCTATAGTCAACAACCTCCTCGCCGTACCTGCATCCTGAACACCGTCGTTAATTCCCTCCCCGTCGCTGTCAGTGGACTTCTATTAGCCGGCTGATTTACTCACATTTGAGGAGTTGGTCGTTTAAACATCCTATTTGCAGCACTTGGGCGAATGCAATTACAGACATAAAGGAAATGTTCTGTAACTAAACCAGTTAACTGTAGAGCTAAAGCAAAACAAAACAAAAACAAAACAACAACAAAAAACACCTAGTTGAGCCCTGTTCTTGAGAGCTAACCTTGATTTTTGCCAGATTGGCTAATATGAAACATATCTGGCTTCAGTCGTAGCGATTCCTTTCCTGCATTTAATGATCCTGCTTTATTTACACAAGCAGTCCCAGCAATACTAGCCTTTACTTTCTGGTGCATTATAAAGATAAGCAACTAGCTTTCTCAGCTTAATGAAACAGGCTTGAAATAAATCATTGGATCCTCTAAATGGTATTTTTTCTATCTGTACCTTGATACATTTTGTCAGGGGGAAGAAACTCCACAGTTCTCTGCATGATAAACTCTAGGGTATTAGTGATTTCACTAACTTTTGCGTTGCTTAACATTTCCTTCCAAAAAAAGCTGTTTCTCAGTAGGAATTAGCAAGAATACAATCCTTATGGAAAGAGCTGACATTGTGAATCTTTGGGTTTTTTGTATGGTTTCAGAATATGCAAAAACCCCAGAAAAGCCTGAGGATATTGATTGAAGGGAGCTTTGTTAGCCTGAGTGCTGTCAGGCTCAGAAATGTCCTTAGGTGACCAAGTGTGTAGAATTGGTCATAATATTTTAGGGGCCACTGACTCCTTAAAAAAATCTGATGAAGACCTGGCACGGTGGCACATGCCTGTAATCCCAGCACTTTGGGAGGCTTGAGCCCAGGAGGTGGAGAGCAGCCTGGCCAACATGGCGAAAGCCCATCTCTACTAAAAACACAAAAATTAGCCGGGCATGGTGGTGGCGCACTTCTGTAGTTCCAGCCACTCGGGAGGCTGAGGCAGGAGGATGGCTTGACCCGTGGAGGCCAAGGTTGCAGTGAGCCGAGATCACACCACTGCACTCCAGTGTGGGCAACAGAGCGAGACTCCATCTAAAAAAACAAAAACAAAAACAAAAAACAAAAAGAACCCCGGGGTGGGGAGGGAGGAAGAAAAGACCAAAGAGAAAGAGGGAAAGAAAAGCTTAATTTTTAAGGTAGATGGTAAAATGATTGAATTCTTTACATTGTGGTAGATTGAACTAGAACTGTTTGGGTAAAAATGTATGATGGCTTCCTGGTCACATGGTTCCTTAGGACAGCAGAGGTGCTCAGTGAAAGGTCCAGAGGATAATGCACATGTGAGTGGCAGTGCAGTTTGGAATGGAGAACTGGTGGAACCCAAGAGACTGCTGTCAGAAAACGTCGCTCGATTTCGATAGGTTAGACTTCATACTATGATGATACGTTTTTAAAATTCTCCAGAATTTTGTACATTTCCAAAGTATGTCAACTATTGTCAGCTGGTTGAGCTTTGGTTGACATGCTTCTAACTGTGTCATAAATTGCTTCCTTTTTTTGGTTTCATTTCCTCAAAGATAGTGTTGCGGTTCTAAAAAAAAAAAAATGCTTCTTAAAAATCTATTTTTGTTAATGTGTGAATTATTTGGAGTTCATGGAGAAGTTGAATTGGGTGAGATATGGGACTTACTGAAAATGGTGGGAGGCATTGTGAAAATACTTCCTTCCTTTGCTTCATTCTCAGTCCTGTTTTATTTTTAGAGTAATGCCTGTGTGAAGGGGAGCAACTGAAAACTCCAATTTCCTGTGTATGGCAGGGTGCACACACATGTAAAACACCAACCAACCAGACAAACAAAAAACAGCCACACAATGGGAGGGACATAATCTTTTACTCTTTATCTGATGTGGGATTGTCTTTGATGTATGAGTGGAAAGATTAAGTGAAGACAATACAGATAGTTGGTTAAGGGCCAGTGTAGTAGCATGTGGATATAGTAAATTTGTTCATTTCATAGGTGGGGAAACTTTTTCCTTTATGGTGTTTTTTGGAATGGACTTGTGATTGTGGGTAGAGCTATTGTGTAGGATCACCTCAAAGCCTCTGACTAACCTGTCAGTAGTTGTCTATGGATCAATTTACTTGACCCGTGTTTGGGTCTGCTCTGGCCAAGGAAGTAGGGTCTTATAGTACAAAGTGAGGAGATGTGTATAAAGCACCTCTTTTGGCAGCTTCTTCATCAGGGGGCCATTGACATGTGCAGCAGGTGATGGGAGTATAAGAGACTGGTGCAAAAGTACCCACTGCCTCCACCAGAAGTCTAAGAGTAACCTGTGCATGCCATTGGTGTCAACTGCACCTTCACACTAATCCACTCAAGGTTTCATGTCCAACTCAGACCCTTCTCCTAAGCTATAGATACACAGAACTTATGGTGACTCAACATCTTCATCTTTATTTCCCATAAAGCGAAAAAAATCTTTACAAGTATAAAGACGAAACTCATAGTTTTCTTCTCCTCCCCTAAACTTGCAGTTTACCCTAATATTTCATATCCCATGGATAGACAGCACTCAGGCACCTATGGGAGTCATTTTTTATTTCTTGGTCGGCTTCCTTGCTCCATCCCTGCCCTGAAACATACAACTCAACACACCACACAAACACATATATCTAATCAGTCACTGTTGTCACCAAATCAATTAAAACAAAAAATGATTACCCCTCAAATTGAAAAATTTTCAGTAGCTTTCTGATAGCTGTCGATAAAGTTCAAAGTAAACTGCTTAGCTTGGCCTAATGATTGACCTTGGCCTTCCTCACCAGCCTCATTGTCCACATTCTTATGCTCTTTTGCATTTTCTTTTTTTTTTTTTTTTTTGAGACAGGGTCTCCCAGCCTGGAGTGCAGTGGTGCCATCACAGCTCACTACAGCCTCAACCTCCTGGGCTCAAGCGATTCTCCCACCTCTGCCTCCCGAGTAATGGGGACCACAGGTGTGTGCCACCACGCCCAGCTAATTTTTGTATTTTTTGTAGAGAGGAAAGTTTCACCATGTTGCCCAGGCTGGTCTCAAATGCCTGAGCTCAAGTGTTCTCTCCACCTTGGCTCCCCAAAGTGGTGAGATTACAGGTGAGAGCCACTGTACCAGGCCTGCATTTTTACCTATCGATTTTGCCTGAATGACTCTCCAGCTGGAGTAGCTTTTCTCACTTACACGCTTTGGTTCCCGTTGGAACCTCTGCTTAGAATGCCTTCCTTGAAATCCATCTGAAATTCCTATAGTTCTTCAAGCTTTAAGGTTCAGCCTTGTCTAGCTCCCCTAGGCAGACTAAAGTAGTTCCTATATATACTTGTACATAAATACTTGGTCAATATTACCACTTGTGTTGTAATTATCTTCATGTCTTTCTCTACTCAATGTTATGGAAGACAAGAAGCAGGTCTTGGTCATTCTTTTATCTCCAACACTCAGACATTCTTTAAATGTTTGTTGAACTGATACCTTTGCAGGGTCCTCCTGGGCAGAAACATCACTCTGTAGGCATTTACTTAAGTGCGTTCATTATGGCAGCAGGAAGAGGCAGTTAGGGAGCATGCCTTCCTTAATATACCTGTCTCCTGAATTTCATTCATGCTTTGGGAATTGATAATATCAATTGCTTTTCAAGAGAAATCCATATACGGGACGCAGTGGCCTGTAGAAGATCCCTTTATTGTTAGCTGGATACAAACCCCAATGTGAGCCTAGTGAGCTAGCCCTGGTGTGTGAAGAATGCTAATGCCTAGGCCCACAGCACCTAGAGCATAGCTCCAGAGTGCCCATGTGGCCTCTATAAGAAGGAAGAACAAGAGCAGGCATCCAGGGGCCACCCCCTCATTTCCTGGCACATCTTATCTCACCACAGAGAAAGGATTCCATGGAACAACCTTTCCAAGAGGTAGGAGAGGAGCTGGAATAAAAAAGTTTCCTCTCTAGCCGTGTAGCAGCAAGAGATGGAGTATCAGGAGGGGCAGACTATGCTGTAGCCCGGTTGCCAGGCAGCATTCTGAACGGCGACTGTTTCCTAACACTGGTATTTCTCCTCAGGAGCCAGGGAGCCATACCATAAGGCCAGCGACATCTGCTGAGGCATGGTTTTGAGTTAGGAAGAATCATTGAGAAGGCCTTATATGCCAGTCCATTTTCAACCTTAATAACTCAGGGCCTGGGCAAGAAGGAGGGGTGAAAAGGAAAGGAGAATTTTGTGGAGAAATTATTGACTCTTAATTGACAGATTAAACATCGAGCCACAATCAGATCAAGTGATTTGTTCAAGGACTTAGAGCTACAAAATGTCAGAGTCAGAATTTCAATGCAGCTCTAAATTGAGTCCCTGTTCCTTTTCACTGAAGCATTCATAATATATGTTATTTTTGGAAAAAATAGATTATGGAAACAAGAGACTAACCTCACCTCTTGGCTACATGCCCTTAGCTCTTACATGATATGTGCTTGAGTGACTTAGGAACTAATAAAATCAGCTGTTTAGTTGTTGAACCAATGATCGTTAATGATTGTTCCTTTACAGGATTGGTACAGATACATTCTTATAACAATTCTGACCCTTTATACATCTCTCGTAATACCCAGGTACAAGTTTTGAGTGTTTATCTTCTTCTTTTCTGTTTAGGTGAGCTGAGTAGGGGAGAGGCAGAGAAAATGTGATAAGGGTATAGAATGACATAAAATCTGACTTCAGCTTAATCATTATTGAGTTCAGCCAGTTGACAAGGAATGAAGGAAAAACAATCTTTTTGGCATCTCCAAACTAATTAACTTCATAACAGCTTCCGTAATTGTATTTCTATCTAATAATATTAACTTAAAGGAATGATAGGTTTATGTGGCTTGAAAGCAGGGTTTTCCATCCTTGTTCCATGGATCCCTTCAGGAGTGAAATGGAAGGATGGGGAGGAGATAGCCTGCAGGTCCTTCCACTGGCCTCTGCAACCAAAGCGGCCCTGGGCTTTTTGTTTCACCTGTGGGGTTCTCATTAAGCTTTCTTTGAATGAAGGATTTTGTTTTATTAAGTTGAAAAATCATTGCCTTTACTTGGATTCTTAGAGCTATGTTGAGAGAAGATAGTAAAATATAATTCAACTAACATTTGAGTGCTTACCATGTGCTAAGCCCTGAGGAGACTGTACTGCTACACTGTCATTACTATTGCTTAGCAGGAAAAACGGATATTAAAAAAGTAATTACAAGTGAGACGAACTTCATAAGAGGAAAAATACAGTGTTATGATGGCATAGAGCAAGGAGACTCAACCTGGTCTCTAGGGCAGTGGTTTCTAAATCTAATCAGAGTAATTCAGAGAGCATTCCTAGTCTCCACCCCTCCCTAGGACGCCTCAGGGATTTTGAGCTGCCCAGATTGGAATCTCCAAGCACTGTTGGTGGGGTGGGGGTGGTGGCGACAAGGGAAGGTGTCATAGAGACGTTCCTGATAAGTTCCTTAAAGGTCTAGGGTAGCCAGACTAGATGGTGAGGTGGAGGATGGGGCCGGAGCAGCCTGGGCCCTGAGGAAAGCTCTATAGAAAGGCCAAGAGTGGAGGGGAGGTAAAGTGTGTTCAAGGAATTGACCAAAGCCCAGTCTCTAGACTTGGAGGGAGAGGGTGTCTCAGTATGTCCATGTTTCAAATATAGCATTTATCATGCTGTTTTGTTTTGACTGCACCTCCCAGTCGTAAGTCTGTAGTGACCAAAGCCATATTTTGTTGACGCATGAAGCTGAGCATCCAGTACCTAGTAGGAACTCAATAAATAGTTGATGATCCAGTGAACAAAGTCTCTGCATATAGGGACTTAGTTCAGAGTAAGAAATGGAAAAGAATATTAATAATTATGAGGTAGGATAGTAACTTAACCTTTTTTTGGCCAGGCATGGTGATTCACACCTGTAATCTCAGCACTTTGGAAGGCTGAGGTAGGAGGATTGCTTGAGACCAGCCTGGGCAAGACAGTGGGACCCTGGCTGTAGCCAGGCATGGTGGTGCATGCCTGTGGCCTCAGCCACTGGGGAGAGCAAGGTGGGAGGACTGCATGAGCTTGGGAGGTTGAGGCTTCAGTAAGTGAGCCGTGTTCGTCTCACTGCCCTCCAGCCTGGAGGGTTTTGCTTTTTTTTTTTTTTTTTTGAGACAGAATTTCGCTCTTGTTGCTCAGGCTGGAATCTAGTGGCACAAGCTCGGCTCACTACAACCTCCACCTCCCGGGTTCAAGCGATTCTCCTGCCTCAGCCTCCCTAGTGGCTGGGATTACAGGCATGCACCATCACGCCCGGCTAATTTTGTATTTTTAGTAGAGATGGGGTTTCACCATGTTGGTCAGGCTGGTTTCAAACTCCTGACCTCAGGTGATCCACCTGCCTCGGCCTCCCAAAGTGCTGGGATTACAGGCGTGAGCCACTGCGCCCAGCCTTATTTATTTATTTATTTATTTATTTATTTATTTATTTATTTATTTTTTAGATAGAGTCTGTCTCTGAAGCCCAGGCTGGAGTGCAGTGGCACGATCTCGGCTCACTGCAACCTCCGCCTCCTGGGTTCAAGCGATTCTCCTGCCTCAGTCTCCCGAGTAGCTGGGATTACAGGCGCCTGCCACCATGCCTGGCTAATTTTTGTATTTTTAGTGTAGACAGGGTTTCACCATGTTGGCCAGGCTGATCTCGAACTCTTGACCTCAGGTGATCCACTTGCCTTGGCCTCCCAAAGTGCTAGGATTACAGGTGTGAGCCACTGCGCCTGGCCTCAAATGAAATTTTATGCAAAAGTCCTGATACATACCAAACCGTTGTGGTTGTATATACGTGTAGGGGTTGCTTCTCGGTTAATCTCTCTCCCCATACCATTCCAACCTGTGCCTCTACACATTTTACTTTTATTATTACCTCTTCCTATTCAGATCTACCTGGGTAGTTTCTACTGTTTTTTTGTTTTTTTTCACATGTCAGTACCTGACTCCTTTTCTTTTCCATCTGCTCTAAAGTTAGATGCCCAGCCTGTCCTCCCAGCATCTGGTGCACACCTCTCTTTTGAACTGCAACAGTGGTTGCAAACACAGTTTTGAGAAGCCTTTTCCCTGGCTCAGCCATCCCACTGCAGTATCCTGACATGTTTTAGCACCAGAAGCTTGAGATGAGAGGGGTTGGGATCCAGAGCGCATATCAAAGGATTGAATTTTGAGAGCCAGTAGAGGACAAAGGGTGCAGATACAGATAGGATTGTGGATTGTGATAGGCATCTGAGCAGCTCCTGCTAGCAGTCATTCATCAGGGAGATAAAAAGCTGGCTGCCATTAACTGAAACAGAGGAGAAATTAGACTAGGTGGAAAATAATCTTGGAGTGCTAGGTGGAAAGAGTAGGCTGAAGGCTTACTAGAGAAATGTGGGGACAGTAGGTGGCATTGTATCCCAGTAGAGGTTGTTGGTAATGACTCATAATGGCATTACTGCACCAGCCTCTCTGACTTTTTTTCCTCCTTTCAGTGATGCTCAGCTGTTTGGGTGTAGACACCAAATAAGATAGTTGGGTTGGGTCAGGCATGGTTGGATTTTATTAAGGGAGCATGAAAGAGGGACTCCTAAGAGCCAAGGGTGTGAATAAAGAGGAAAATGAATATAAGTATAGGAGGGGTGAAGAAAGTTGTGGGGTCAGTGGACTGGAGGTTTTAGTGAAGCTGAAGAATCATTTCAAGAAGGAATTTCATCAGGGCTATGGAGAGTCAGTGAATTCAGGGGCGAGTCCGTTAATTTAATGCAAGATAGTGGATGGAAAGTCCCAAGAGGTGGAGGATATAGGGGTGTTTCCTGTTCACCGAGCATGAGATCCAGATGATACATTTTTTGTTAATAAAGATATTGTAATAGGGTAGAGTCAAACTGCCTGTGTTGGAATCCCATCTCTGTCATTACTGTGTGACCTTGAACAAATTATATAATCTCTCCGTGTCTCGGCTTCTTCATCTGGAAAATAGGGATAAAAATAATACCTATCTAGTAATGTTGTATTAAGGGTTAAATGAGTTATTAATGTCTGTAAAAGCACTTCAATAAATACCACCGTATAGGAAGTATGTATAAGTACTTATTAAATAAAAATAGTGTCTTCACTATATATTTAATATGTAACTCTTTAAAGTGTTAATGCCTAGCAACTATTTCCTTCCTCTCCCCCTCTATTTATTCCCATCATCTTATAATTAAACCTTTGCCATATGCTCATTTGCACTAGTTCTCTACACATTTTTCATTAGGCTTGTAAGTCTGTGTTAATCATTCAGAAAAGTATATTTTAAATATCTCTATTTTATGAATTTTATTTTAGCTGTTAAGCGTTTAATGAAAGAAGCGGCAGAATTGAAAGATCCAACAGATCATTACCATGCGCAACCTTTAGAGGTTAGTTTCTATCTCCATGTTCTTCATATGGATTTTAGTATTTAAAACAAATTCTTTAAAATTGCTCTTCATTGCTTTGAGTCATTACAGATGTGTGTGATGTAGTTTGACATTTTATTCACTGTATTTCCTGAATATTTCATTAGCCATTCCAAATCACTTTAGAAGAAACAGATTTTGTGGTCTTTGTAAAATGGGTCTCAGATGCTAAGTTGAGGTTAGATCTTTTTTTCTTTTTTTTGGATGTGGAGTCTCGCTCTGTTGCCCAGACTGGAGTGCAGTGACGTGACCTCGGTCCACTGCAACCTCCGCCTCCTGGCTTCAAGCAATTCTCCTGCCTCAGCCTCCTGAGTAGCTGGGATTACAGCTGCATGCCACTACGCCCGGGTAATTTTTGTGTTTTTAGTAGAGACGGGGTTTCACCATGTTGGTCAGGCTGGTCTGGAACTCCTGACCTCGTGATCTGCCCACCTTGGCTTCCCAGAGTGCTGGGATTACAGGTGTGAGCCACTGCACCCAGCCGAGGTTAGATCTTGAGTCTGAGGGAGGGAAGGTGGAAAGAACCCCAGATACTTTACAGTTTGGAAGCCTCTTGATGGGTCTCCGTAGCTACTCAAGGCTTTTTGTACAAGCATCTCTACCTCTCTTAGTCTTCTCATTGTAAAAGGAGGGCATTTAAATATACTCAGGCAGGTTTTCATGGTAACAGTGGGAATAAAAATATAGATTAAGTGCAAGTATTTTGTATACTGAAAAGTACATATTAACTGTAAGATGACATTAAATATATTAATATTACCATTTTATAAATAAGCTCTTAGGTATCTATAAGGGATAATTTTTAAAGATTTGTTAAAATAACCCAAACATAGTAATTTTTTGATTATATAATTATAATAATTTGCTATTCTTTTAAGGATTAATTTCTAATTTAAACCTGTAAGTTATGAATATATAACACTCAGAAATTTTTAATGTGTTTATTATAAAAGATTTTAGCTCAATGGAACATGAAAGCTAGATTAAGTAGCTTTCACTTATAAATTTAATTTATCACTTACATTCTCAAGACATCTCATACATTAGAAACTATACTAGCAATAATATAAAGCATTTAGTTTTTCTTGCTTGGTAATATTTCTGATATTCAGATAAAATGATCGAACTTTTTAATATTATTAATTCCTTGTGGATTATTGTTTTTGTTCAGGATAACCTTTTTGAATGGCACTTCACGGTTAGAGGGCCTCCAGACTCCGATTTTGATGGAGGAGTTTATCATGGGCGGATAGTATTGCCACCAGAGTATCCCATGAAACCACCAAGCATTATTCTCCTAACGGTAAGAATTTTGGATTTTTAGAATGCTCATGACTTAACTCTTCCTGGTAGCTGCAAATATAGTAAGCAAATCATTTTCATTAAGAAATAATAGAACAGTATAATTTTGCTTTTGGGGTCCAGGCCCTGGGACTACAATTTTTTTTCTCCAAAATAATTCCTAGGAAACTGATGCATCTGAGAAGTAAAAATGATACAACTGAATGCATAAATGTCACATCATGGTTGTTAGGATTCAATGAATTAATATATGCAAAGCGCTGGGCATACACATCTGGTACTTCATAAGTACTCACTAAAGGTTAGCTAATGTTATTGTACCTTGTAATCACATTGTCTCTTTCAACTTCCCACCTTTCTTACACTCTCTTCCTCAGTTTTCTCATCTTTACAAAGAGAATAATGATACCTACCTTACTGAGTTTATGTGGGATGAAAAGTATCAATATCTTATTGTATAGCTCTTAGAATAGAGTCTGACACAGAGTATTCAATAAGTGTTAGCATTATTATTACCATTTATATCTCAGAATTTCTCTCTTTCTCTCCAACTTTACATGTCTTTTCTTCATGTGAAGGAAAACTTTTTATTTTTTAGAGACACAGTCTTGCTCTGTTGCCCAGGCTGGAGCGCAGTGGCCCAATCATAGCTCACTGTAGCCTCAAACTCCTGGGCTCAAGCAATCCTCCCACCTCAGCCTCCTGAGTAGCTGGGACTATAGGCACATGCCACTGTGCCCAGCTAATTAAGAAGCTTTTTGGTAGAGACATGGTCTCATTGGTCTTGAACTACCGGCCTCAGGCAATCCTCCCGTCTCAGCCTCCCAAAGTGCAAGGATGACAGGAGTCACCATCATACCCGGCCAAGGAAAACTATTGATCTAATTCCTCTTTAATTGTTAAGCTTTTCTTCTCTCATTTCCTTTAATTTTAACTATGTTTAATTATCCCCTAACCTTGAAAGAAGCAAAAACAAACACAAAACCTTTCTCTGTATCTGTTACCACTTTAAGCTGTGCCTATTTTTCTCTTTGGTAACCTCCAAGGCATCCTTTCTCTAGTGTAGCCTGCTGCAGTCCACGTTCCACACATAGTGCCCTCTTGAAACATGAAACTACACCAATCTCAGAGATCAGTTTGAGAAATCTCACTGCTTCTTCTCAGTCTTCATCCTGTTCTATCTAAGTTAAACATCTGACCCACATGGAGTAGCAAATGGTAAAACAACAGGTATTCATCAATAAATACCAAATTAATGCTGCTTTTACCTCTATTTTGTATAACAGAGAGAGCATTTGTTTAAGAGCCAGTAGGCCTAGATTCTGACTGGTGCTCTTTCCGTTACACTATGGGTGGGTTACATAATGTCTTTAAAATTCAGTTTTCTCATCAGTCAAAAGGAATTTTGTGTTTGGTAATTGTAATCACACCATAAAGTACCTGACATACAGAAGCTGCTTAACAAGTATTAGCTGATACTCCTCTCTTCTTTTTTTTTTCTTTTCTTTTCTTGGGGACAGGGTCTCACACTGTCACCCAGGCTGGCATGCAGCAATGCAGTCATGGTTCACTGTGGCCTTGAACTCCTGGGCTCAAGGAGTCTTCCTGTCTTAGCCTCCCAAGTAGGTAGGACTAGAGGCACACGCCACCACTCCTGGCTAATTTTCTTTCTTTTTCTTTTTTCTTTTTTTGTAGACAGTGTCTCACTAGGTTGCTCAAGCTGGTCTTGAACTCCTGGCCTGAAGTGATCCTCCCGCCTCAGCCTCCCAGAGTGCTGGGATTACAAGCGTGAGCCACTTCGCTGGCCAGTAAAACTTTATGTGTTAATTATTTAGATTTCAGTTGTGCAACTCAGTTTCAAAAGGTGCTGTAAAACACCTTCTAAAAACAGCTTTTATTATTCAGCATCCAGCAAGTATTTTTGGAGTCTATAAGGACAAAAAAAATCTGTGCCCCATTAGAGGTTACATTTTTTAAAAAAATATTTTAAAAATAATCTCTAAAATTATTATATATAAATAGTATATTTTTACCTAGAAAGTGTAAACATTAAACACATGTATTTAATTTTCTAAATGTATTGTTTATTCCTCAGGCTAATGGACGATTTGAAGTGGGCAAGAAAATTTGTTTGAGCATCTCAGGACATCATCCTGAAACTTGGCAGCCTTCGTGGAGTAGTAAGTGTTAATTTATAGTGAATATAAATCTCTTATAACTTCAGTCAATTCATAGTTATGAAGTATAATACTCTCTTTTTTTTCTTTTTCCAGAATAAACCCAGTTGCTTTTACAAAGCAATTTAGATTGATATTTACTTTTTTATTTCAGTAAGGACAGCATTATTAGCCATCATTGGGTTTATGCCAACAAAAGGAGAGGGAGCCATAGGTTCTCTAGATTACACTCCTGAGGAAAGAAGAGCACTTGCCAAAAAGTAAGTTTTGCATTTCATTCTTGTTGAGGTCTGAATGGTATTCAGGGTAATGGCTATTAGGAGGTAGGGGCTGCCTCTTACTACGTGACTTACTTTCTGAGTGACTGTAGCTACAGGATCTTATCTCAGTTTTGCTCTTTTAGAAATTCAGTTGTAATAATTTCCTTGGAGTGACCAGAATCTAAGTAATTTATTTAATGCTATCTAGTCTTAAAAAGTAGTTGATACTATTTCACTATTTTTTTTAATACAGTGGGAGATATATTCTCCTGGAAAACAATACCAGTCATTTGTTTCCACTTATATGGAATTACAGATGGAAAAGAACCAGAGCAATTATTTGTAGCTTTCCACAAGATTACAAACCCCTTGAGGGCCGGGAGGGAATCCACTTTATCCATCTTTGCATCTAGCTCATAGCAAGTGCTTAATAAGTGATCTGGAATAAAGCAACAGAGATTTTCTTTATCAAATTGTGATTGCCCAGTGGCAATCACAGAGAAGTGATGCCTTCTCTGTTTTTTTCAGGTGCAGGTGCATTTTTGTCTTTATAACCAAGATCAGTCCTTCCGTTCAGAGTAGCCCCTCTTTGAGTAGCGCTGATACCTAATTTTTGATGTTGATAATTTTTCTTCTCTGGAGTCTGCTGCCTACCACCCTTCAGACATATTATGCTAATTAAATTATAGCATATTTTACCCTAGCACACCCCAGAGTAGGCCCTCTGCAGGTATTTGCTAAATCAAATAGTTAGATTTTAGCATGTGGAAGATTTGGTAGACTTCTTGGTCTTATAAGCAACTTTTCTTTTTAAATCTTATTTCCAAATTCTGGGCATGTACTTTATTTGTACAACTCTTGATAGATTACACTATGTACTTTGAATACATAGTATTTGTTTTCATTCAATTTAGATGCTTTTATCCATTTGATTTCATGTGCAAGGTAAAAAAACAAAACAAAACAAAACTGGAGTTCTTGTTCTTCTAGGCTTCTCACTATATATTCTAGATTCTCAGTCTATAATAGAAACCTTTTAAAAAATTGTTTTGGGCTGGGTATGGTGGCTGACACTTGTAATCCCAGCACTTTGGGAGGCCAAGACAGGTGGATTGCTTGAGTTCAGGAGTTTGAGACCAGCCTGGGTAACATGGTGAAACCCCATCTCTACAAAAAAAATACAAAAATTAGCTGGGCGTGGTGGCGCGTGCCTGTAGTCTCAGCTACTTGGAAGACTGAGGTGGAAGGATTGCTTGACCTGGGGAGGTTGAGACTGCAGTGAGCCATGATTGTGCCACTGCACTCAAGCCTGGGGGACAGAGTTGAGACCTTGTCTCAAAAAAACAAAGAGATTTTGTATTCAACCAAGGTAGTGTGCTACCACTGTAGATAAACTAATACATTCAAAATAAACACTCTCCTTAAGTTTCATCTGACTCAGTTAAAAGTGAATATATTTTGAAGCAAATAATTTGTATATAACCAATTCTCAAAGGCGTGTGCACAACAGTGCCACTTCTGGTAAAACAAGAAATACTCATCAATAAATACTAAATTAGGCTGGGCACAGTGGCTCATGCTTGTAATCCTAGCACTTTGGGAAGCCGAGGCAGGAGGATCACTTGAGCCTAGAAGTTCCAGACCAGTCTGTACAACATAGGGAGACACTGTCTCTACAAAAAAAAAAAAAAAAAAAAAAAAAATTAGCTGGGCGTGGTGGCACACACCTGTGGTCCTAGCTACTTGGGAGGCTGAAGAGGCTGAGGTGGGAGGATCATTGGAGTCTGGGAGGTTGAGGCTGCAGCAAGCCATGATTGCACCACTGCACTCCAGCCTGGGTGATAGAACGAGGAGACCCTGTCTCAAACAAACAAACAAACAAACAGAAAAACTAAATTATTGCTACTTTTACATATATTTTGTTTATATGATATTTCATAATTTTAAATAGCATGTTCTTTAAGACCTAAGGTTTTTGAATTAATAGAACTAGAAGTACTATGAAAAACAATTTTTTAAAAAGAAGTTCAACAATGTAACAATATATATTTTGATGCATGTTTACTTTCTTTTTAATATATTGTTTTTTTTTTTTTGAGACGGAGTCTGGCTCTGTCACCCAGGCTGGGGTGCAGTGGCCAGATCTCAGCTCACTGCAAGCTCCGCCTCCTGGGTTTACGCCATTCTCCTGCCTCAGCCTCCCGAGTAGCTGGGACTACAGGCGCCCGCCACCTCGCCCGGCTAGTTTTTTGTATTTTTTAGTAGAGATGGGGTTTCACCGTGTTAGCCAGGATGGTCTCGATCTCCTGACCTCGTGATCCGCCCATCTCGGCCTCCCAAAGTGCTGGGATTACAGGCTTGAGCCACCGCGCCCGGCCCAATGCATGTTTACTTTCAGTAATTCATATCCACATAATGACTCTTGTAAACTTCAAGGAAGTTTTGACTATATCTGGAATACAAAGGGAAAAATGGAAAGACACATTTATTTTAGAAAATACTCCCTCAAGCCTGTAATCCCAGCACTTTGGGAGGCCGAGACGGGCGGATCACGAGGTCAGGAGATCGAGACCATCCTGGCTAACACGGTGAAACCCCGTCTCCACTAAAAAATACAAAAAACTAGCCGGGCGCGGTGGCGGGCACCTGTAGTTCCAGCTACTCGGGAGGCTGAGGCAGGAGAATGGCTTGAACCCGGGAGGCGGAGCTTGCAGTGAGCTGAGATCCGGCCGCTGCACTCCAGCCCGGGCGACAGAGCGAGACTCCGTCTCAACAACAACAACAACAACAACAACAACAACAACAACAACAAAAAAGAGTCTAGTTAACAGACATATCCTGAGTCTCTACTTAATATATAATCAGTAATAAATTAAGTCTTTGGATTTTCTGCAAGTTCTCCCAAGTCTTTCAAGTTATACTCTATTTGTGAGGGTTTTTTTTTTCCTAGAAATATCTGTAAATTCTGTGTTTAATTGGTTTCTTTACTGCTTTATATATATTTCTGCTAACAGATAATTTGATCTTGTTAAAGGACTTTTTTCACAGCCTTAAAATAGTTTTGTTATATGTGATCTCAAGGACTGTATGATAGACAATTTTCTCATTGTATAGATATAAAACTTATTTTTCTTTAGATAGTTTATTGGAAAAAATAGGATCTGAGCCCTGGATTTTTTTAAAGCCAGCCTAAGATTTACTTGTCTCAGGACTATAATTATTACATTAATTGTCTAATTCATAGCATGTGAATAAATGTGATGTGGAATTTTCCAGTGTTCTTTTCTTTTAAGTTTAATGATTCAGCATTTGAGTGTCTCAGTAAGAGGGAATTGAACATTTAACTATTTGATTTATTTTCATTTAAAAAATTGTTTTCTACCAGATCACAAGATTTCTGTTGTGAAGGATGTGGCTCTGCCATGAAGGATGTCCTGTTGCCTTTAAAATCTGGAAGCGATTTGAGCCAAGCTGACCAAGAAGCCAAAGAACTGGCTAGGCAAATCAGTTTTAAGGTACTATAAATTCTTAAATAAATTCTAATCTTGTAGCCCTTTTGTTTACTGCTGGATTCTGCATAGAAAGGAAAGCAATGCAGTTCTATTACAATATAACATTTGCAAATGTTTTTCTTTTTTCATATTTTTTAATTTTTAATTTCTGTGGTTACATAGTAGGTGTATATATGTATAGGGTACATGAAACGTTTTAATACTGGCATGGAAGTTTTTTCTTATTACAGAATTCCTAACTACATTCATGAAAGCTTTATAGCATAGTGAGTGAGTAAAACTTGAACTCTGGTATGCCAGGGTTCAAATCCCAGCTCTGTTGCTTAGTAGTAGTATGATGTCATACGTATTAATTAACCACTCAGTTTGTGCCTTTTTCTTATCTATAAATAATAATGGTGCCTATATCATAGGATTGTTGTGAGGATTGAATTAATATATGTAATACATGGGTTGCATTCAGAACTGTCCCTGGTGCTTACTAAATTCTAGTTATTATTACAGAAAATATAGATAATAAGAAGAAAATGATGGCTGGGCATGTTGGCTCACCCCTGTAATCCCAGCACTTTGGAAGGCCGAGGTGGGCGGATCACCTGAGGTCAGGAGTTCGAGACCAGCCTCAACATGGAGAAACCCCGTCTCTACTAAAAATACAAAATTAGCTGGACGTCATGGTGCATGCCTGTAATCCCAGCTACTTGGGAGGCTGAGGCAGGAGAATTGCTTGAACTTGGAAGGCGGAGGTTGCAGTGAGCCGAGATCACGCCATTGCACTCCAGCCTGGGCAACAAGAGTGAAACTCCGTCTCAAAAAAAAGAAAAAGAAAGAAAAAGAAAATGACGTTCATAATCCCACCCTCAAGAAATAGCTACTGTTAATTTGGCATCCCTCCTATATATCCCTTTTTTCTGTATATGTTTTACCCAACCATAGGATTATATAGTATTTTAATACTTTGAGTATTAAATATTTAATTATTGAAAATATTGGCTGGGTGCGGTGGCTCACGCCTATAATCCCAGCACTTTGGGAGGCCGAGGCAGGCAGATCATGGGGTCAGGAGATTGAGACCATCCAGGCTAACACAGTGAAACCCCGTCTCTACTAAAAATACAAAAAATTAGCTGGGTGTGGTGGTGCACGACTGTAATCCCAGCTACTTGGGAGGCTAAGGCAGGAGAATCGCTTGAACCCAGGAGGCAGAGGTTGCAGTGAGCCGAGATGGTGCCACTGCACTCCAGCCTGGTGACAGAGTGAGACTCTGTCTCAAAAAAATATAAATACATACATACATACATATATAAAGTATTAAGTATTTAATCCTCCTGGAATTTAATTAGCTTCACAGAAATGTCAACCTGCATTAAGCAGCATGCTAGCATGCTCTCTCCTCCTCCCTGTCCACTTCTCTATGGACTGTCCGTCTTTCCAGGTCCAGTTCCCTTCTCTTTTATTGTAGTGCCTGGAGGAGGAGTAGCTCAGAACATGTTTACTTTCTTCCTTCTGAGGATTCCTATTACACTTAAAATTGCTTCTGAAAAATCTCAGGACCAAATGTGTTTTGTACATGAGAATTTTTTAGACTTAAGAAAAGATCTTACTATACCATATGTTAACTAACCTGCCGTGCGATCTGGGGCAGCACCTCATAATCAAATCCATTAGGATTTCCTCAGCAAATCTGAGAATATTACATTAATGTGGGATTAATGTTTACACTAATGTGGGATAAAGACTATTCATAGCTTCACATCAGCTCATATCAGGCTTTGCCTAAAAATTACCAAGAAAACCTTGAGTTTTGAGTGCTTTTTAGCATTGTGGACTGTGAACCATGGGTGTTAGTTTTGTCCCTTATCAAGTAATGGCTTCTTGAGAACAGGTGTTGTTCATGCTTCTTCCTATGATACCTAGTACAGTGTTGGACACAAGAGTGCTCAGTGCTTAACTGCCTGATAATAGATGTTAAACTAGCAATTAAATCCAACAGAGGGGATTTAGCAGGTTGTAGATTGTGTATGTTTCCTGTTGTAACATTGCTCTTGGGCCTATCTTGTTTATAGGCAGAAGTCAATTCATCTGGAAAGACTATTTCTGAGTCAGACTTAAACCACTCTTTTTCACTAACTGATTTACAAGATGATATACCTACAACATTCCAGGGTGCTACGGCCAGTACATCGGTATGGCTCTTATCTTTCAATATATACGTATGTCTCTATCATTATCATTGTTTGCAATAGGAGAAGATACTAGATCAAATATCTGAAAATTTTGGTTCTCTTAACAACTGGATTCTAACTCATCAGTCCCTCTAATGAATTATATTATGTTGAGCAAGTTGTTCATGCTTTCTGGCCTCAGTTTTCTTTTTTTGTTAAATGGGGCTGGATTAAATAATTTTTGTCTTGTCCCTTCAGAATTCTATGATTGCCTGAAAAGTTAATTTTAATATAGTGTTAGACTGAATAAAACAAAATATCCATATGTTAGCCACTTTCTGAATGGACACTATTTTTGGCAGGATTGTTCAGCTGCATTAAGATACTGACTTAATAAAGTCCTAGAGCCAAAAATTTGCTTTAGACTTGCTCTGTCCAACACAGTAGCCACCAGCCACATGCAGCTGTCTACGTTTAAATTTAAATGACTCAAAATCAAGTAAAATTTAAAATTCAGTTCCTCAGTCACACTAACCACATTTCAAGTGCTCCGTAGCCACATGTGGCTAATGAGTACCACACTGGACAGTGTAGACATAAACATTATTATCATCACAAAATTCTGTTGGACAGTGCTACCTCGTATATAGTAAGTGTCCAGTAAATAATTGTTGAATAAAAGAATGAATGCTATGGGTGTTGTTAGTTGTGCCTGTTGGCCTAGGTGATCAGAGAGTGATTTAAAAAATATGACCGGATTGGTGCCAAAGAATTAGGATTACGGGAAAAAATAATTTTCCTTCCTGTATTTAAAAGATGAACTGTCTTTTGAAGTCTTTTTTGGTAACAGATTGTTTGGTTAAGTAGTCACATCTTTTTTGTTGTTGTTTCTCCAGTTTATTGAAGACTTTAAAGGGTGAGGGAAAATTGAAATAGAAGTTGGGCAAATATAGATTTGCCCTTTACCCAGCAGATAACTTACATAAAGTGGGACTGAATAGACTTGAGTGAGTCTCTTCTGTTCAGAGAATAAGCTGGGCAGAGAAAAGTTGGTTGAAGAAGAACAGGGTAGTAGTCTAGGGGGACTGAAGATGGAGCTCTGAGAAAAAAGTGTGTCGGGATGAGTTTAAATCGTTTTTATGTGATCCCAGTGTAATTTTATGAATCGCAGGGGAAAATAATGAATTAATTTTAAAGTCAATATGTTTTAGTTCAAAATATTTAAAAAGCTTTCTAATTACTTTTTATTTCATAGTTTTTGTATTTTTTTTTTTTTAATAGAAGCATTCTATTACAAAAAGGAAGGTGGTAATCTTCTTTCACCTTTTAGGACAGCCTCCTAATGTTTGTGATGTATTTAAATCTTTTGTGTATTTTCAATCTATGTTATGTTCCCTTGTTACATATTCCAGTTATACTTATTCCAGTTGTAATTTACTTTGTAATTATTTATTGTCTGTCTCTCTTCCCAGAATATAAGTTCTGTGAAGATCAGGGGTCTCTTTCAACTTCTCCACTGTATCCCCAGTGCCTGGCTTAGTGCCTTCTATATAGTAGATTGTCAGTGTTTATTTGTTGACTGAATGAATGAATCTTAGGATTGGTACTTTTAAAAAATGCTAGGAATACAATTAAGTAAATCAAGAAGTTTAAGTAATTTAGAGTGTACAAATAATGATGTTATTATAGTAGTATTTCTCATTTTGATTTAATACATAAAACTTAGAATTCTTGTTCATAGACATAGGTCATTAATTGAGACCATTTTTGGTTAAAATACCAACAAGCAATAAATTGTCTACAATTGCAAGTTAAGTTTTTAATTATATTTACATATAAACTCTCTCAGAGTATGAGTATATAATTTGACTACTATGAAAGTAACTGAAACCTGGTTTGGCTAAGGGTGGTTATTTTACATTAAGTGTAATATAAATTAATTGAGATGTTATACATCAAATCCCAGATAAGCTATGATTTTTTTTGTTGTTGTTATTAGCCTTGAGGAGAGGCAAGAGATTGCCAAAACTCTAAATACAGCAGATAATATCAGGCCATCTGTTGCTTTTTGATGCAGATATTTTAGCATCAAAAAGCAATGGGAAATGTAGAAATGGGAAAAACACTGATGGCAGTTTTGTTTTTGCAGTCTGTCAGGTTTTTTCCTTTTCCCAGGGCAGGGATCAAGGTTCTGAATAAGCCATTTCTTTTTATATTAAAAAGCAAAACTCCCTCACACATGCTGGTTATTCTAGGTTATTATAGAAAAATTTATATGTATAAATATATATGTATCACTAGGGACAACTAAGAATGTGATTTTTTTTTTTTTTAAGAGAGAGTCTCGCTCTGTTGCTCAGGCTGGAGTGCAGGCATGTGATCATAGTTCACTGAAGCCTCAGCCTCCTGAGCTCAAGTGATCCTCTTCCCTCAGCCTCCCAAGTAACTAGGACCACAGGTGGGCATGACCACATCTGGCTAAGTTTTAAAATTTTTCTGTAGAGATAGTGTCTCACTATGTTGGCCAGACTGGTCTCAAATGCCTGGGCTCAAGCAGTCCTCCTGCCTCAACTTCCTAAAGTGCTGTATGATTGTTTTAAATAGGAAACAATTTAGAATTTTATAATATCAAGGCACTTGATTTTTAGTCAGTGATATACCATCCAAAAGGCATCTGAGGCTGGACACATTGGTTCACGCCTATAATCCCAGCACTTTGGGAGGCCAAGGCAGGAGGATCGCTTGATCCCAGGAGTTCAAGACCAGCCTGGGCAATGTAACAAGATCCCATCTCTTAAAAAAAAAAAAAGATTAAAAAAATAGAGACAAAAGGCATCTGACATTTTTAATTAAATTAAAACATTATATGTATATAAATATTTTCATTAAGTGTATGTGTTAAAATATCATCTACAGTCAATGTTTTAAGGGATTGTTTTTCTAAATATATTAATAAAACTATTAAAAGGTCAAAAAGCTGTCCTAAGTTATGACTTTTTTTTGAACCTAAATGTAGATGCCCCGCAAGGGATATATTATTAGTAACAATCATTCTTGGTAGTGTTGCCCTTAGTCATATGTTGTCCTCTGAGATTCTGTGTATTCTTGGATAGATAACAAGTATATTTACAAACTTATTTGCCAGTTTCAAACAAAGTTTCTTAAAATTTCCTAGTATGGAGTCCAGAATTCCTCGGCAGCATCCTTTCATCAACCTACCCAACCTGTAGTTAAGAATACCTCCATGAGCCCTCGACAGCGCCGGGCCCAGCAGCAGAGTCAGAGAAGGTCTTCTACTTCACCAGATGGAATCCAGGGCCGCCAGCCAAGAGACACCCACACTGATCATGGCGGATCAGCTGTACTGATTGTCATACTGACTTTGGCATTGGCAGCTCTTATATTCCGACGAATATATCTGGCCAATGAATACATATTTGACTTTGAGTTATAATATTGTTTTGTGACTTAAGAGCTGTGACTCAACTGCTTCATTAAACATTCTTCATTGGGTATAATCTAAGAATTGTTTACAAAAAAGTTATTTTGTATTTACCCTTCATTCCTTTTTTGATCCTTATAAGTTTAGTATAAATATATCTAGACATTCATACTATGTCTAGCAGTTATGTCCTGCTTAAAGGGACCGGAAGTCAAAGTTCCTTGTCTCGCTATCCGATCTGCTTTGCAGGGAAATAACTTGTTTTTTCTCATGCTTCACCTTCTTTTTATGTAAATTTGTAATACTTTCCTATATAGCTCTTTGAAACTTTTGGATGAAAGATGATGTTTTAAGTTCCAGTGAGTATTACTAGTTACTCAATACCACTTATTGAGTACACTGTTTCTACGTATGTAGAATGTATAGGGATAGAAGAGGTAAAAAGGGAAAGCAAAACTCAAGTCGCTTCCTTAAAATGTCATTTATAGGAGATGTTTATAGGGATTGCTCATTCTGTGACTTTATTTGTGTCCTAAACATTCTTCAGTGAAAATCATTTTATTTCAGTCAAAATTTATGAGGAAATGAGATCACATCTTTGTCACTGGATACTACTTGAAGAGGGAGTACTTTGTAACCACTTTGATATGCTGTTATCATCACTGCTCCCTGCCCCCTGCTGCCATACCCACAAGTTTAAAAAGAAATAAAACAGTCTTCCATAGATTTTTGTTTTAAGGAAGAAAGGGCCCAAGCCAGGAGATGCTTGATTTTCTTCCAGAAGTTAAATGGGGGGATCTTAAGATTTGAATGTTTGCTCTGCTTTGAAATGTATGTCTTTGGGGATGTATTATATGCCTAGCTTTATAATCAGTATAAATTTTAATTATTCCAGGAATATGCATAATATTGAAATATTTCGTGTACTATTTTAATAGAAAACCTCAGGGCCCAAGTAACTGATAGAAGTTAGAAAAACCTTTACTTAGAATTGTCCACCTAGTCAGAGCCCAGGAAGGAATTTTCAGTGGAAAAATCAATATATAACTTAGTTCTAGCTAGCTCCACAAGTAGATAATATTATCATCACAATGGCTGGTGAGACCATATAATCACAGAAAAACGTTGCCTTCAGCATGTTCGGTTCGCAGCACTGAGGGCACTCTTGAGGGTGTTGTTAATGAAGACTTAATTTTTAAATACAGGTAGTTCCAAGCTTTCAAATAGGTTATGCTCCAAAAGTGTTATTTGTAAGTTAAGTTTTTTACAAGTCAGACAATATTGGAAATGGTATTTAGGTTCTAGATCAGTCCACGAAAGTTAGCCCATATGTATATCTTGAATAGTATAGGGGAGGGTATTCATAAAGTCCTTATGTGGTTTTAACTAAGTGAAATTATGGACAAGAGAAATAATTTAAAAAATCATTTTAAAGGCAAATTTAATTTTTACTCCTGTTTATGGAACTTTCGTTCTATTAACTGTCAGACACAATTTCTGTTTTCATCTGAGAGACAACTTTCCTTTATTTCTACATCTAAACTAAGAACATATTGTATACTATTATATAATACAGAATTGTCTTAAACTTTAAATTTTCGTTTTAAAAGTGTTTACATATTATTTTTTATATCTGTAGCTGAATTTGTTAAAGTCTAAAAAGCTCAAGGACTTTATGAAGATCTCATTATATGAGGAAAATCATAGGTTACCATTTTATAACTTTATTGCTGTAAGAAAATACATTCTCAAGTCTTGATTTGAAACATATTAGAAACCTTGGTTCAGTGCTCAGTGGTCTCCTAGCAAGAAGTCACCGACCCAGCTGGGAAAACCAGGTAGCGTCATAGGAGGAGAAAGAAATCCCCACCACCTCAACCCCTGCTGAGATTGTGTGCTAGGAACAGTCTTCCCTCCATTTCCCCTCAGTCAAACTTGAGCCAGCCTCTGGATCGATGTGATCTTGTTGCACGTTTCCATGGGGTGTACCTATACTTTAAGCCAATCCTGCTGCATTCTCTGCTGAGTTAAATAAAAAGCCAAGAAGATTTTGCATCATGCAGATCCTTTGCTATCTGACTTGCATCTCTTCCCTCACCTGTCAGCTAACCACCTGCTTGTTTGTGTTGGGATATTTTTTAGCACCTGAAGCACCATCTGAAAGGGGCACCATTTTCTTCTTCCCTTTTACCTCACATATACTACCTAAAAACTCTTAAAAAGTTGTCAATTAGACCCCCAGCGTGAGGTTAATGAGCAAAATTGGTCTTTGGGGCCCTTTTTGTCCAAGCCCCACTGAAAAGCCTCTTCATAAAACTATTATCTTTAAAGTCCTACTTTAACTCCTTAATTCCAGCATACAGCTAAAACTGGATGTATATTCTGATAAGTAAAGGCTGAGGACTCCTTTCTTTAATCCTCAGATCTAGATAACTCATGACATTTTCTTTGACCAACATAGCACATGATGAGATATCAAGGTAATTAAACTAGCATGCTTGAAAAAAATACGTAATCTGTTTCACCTGTAACTGTTTAAGCCAATGAACTTTTCAAAATTTATGTAATATGGGACTTTTATGTAGCACTTTATGTTTTCATGCTGCTTCTTGTTTTATTCTACTGAAATAAATGAATTTCAAGATTCTCAACTTTAATTTCAAAAATTGTTTACTGTTTTGACTGTGGGAATACAAAATTTCCTATTTCAGGAGAATAAGAACTCCTTTTGTCATTTTTGGCTATGAATAAACTTTTTGGTCTCTTGAGACCACCCATTTTTATAGATCAGAATCAGAAAACAAGTAAACCTCATGCATTTGGACTCATTTGAACAAAAACCTAGGCCAAAATACTGAAAAGCATTGTGGGGAAAAGAAAGAAAGATCAGACTCTTACTGTGTCTATATGGAAAGAAGTAGACATAAGAGACTCCATTTTGTTCTGTATTTGAGATGCTGTTCATCTGTGACCCTACCCCCAACCTTGTCCTTGCAAGAGACATGTGCTGTGGTGACTCAAGGTTTAAAGGATTTTGGGCTGGGCAGGGTGTGCTTTGTTAAACAAGTGCCTGAAGGCAGCTTGCTGGTTAAAAGTCATCACCATTCTCTTAACCTCAAGTACCCAAGGACACGCACACTGCCAAAGGTCGCAGGGACCTCTGCCTAGGAAAGCTAGGTATTGTCCAAGGTTTCTCCCCATGTGATAGTCTGAAATATGGCCTCGTGGGAAGGGAAAGACCTGATCGTCCCCCAGCCTGACACCCGTGAAGGGTCTGTGCTGAGGAGGACTAGTACAAGAGGAAAGAAGGCCTCTTGGCAGTTGTTGGCAGTTGAGATAGAGAAAAGCATCTGTCTCCTGCCCGTCCCTGGGCAATGGAACATCTCGGTATAAAACCCGATTGTAAGTTCTGTTTACAGAGAAAGGAGAAAACCGCCTTAGGGCGAATGCTGCTCTTTATGCACTAAAAAGGTTTATGGAGATGTTTACATATGCATATCAAGGCACAGCACTTTTCCTTAAACTTATTCATGTCACAGAGAACTTTATTCATATGTCTTACTGCTGACTTTCTCCCTATAATGATCCTATTATCCTGCCACTTCCTTTTCTTTAAGATGGTAAAGATAATGATCAATAAATACTAAGGGAACTCAGAGGCCGGTGCCGGCGTGGGTCCTCTGTATGCTGAGCGCCGGTCCCCTGGGCCCACTTTTTCTTTCTCTATACTTTGTCTCTGTGTCTCATTTCTTTTCTCAAGTCTCATTCCACCTAACGAGAAACGCCCACAGGCGTGGAGGGGCAGGCCACCCTTTCAAAGCCTCTGTGTTTTTCTTTAATTGAAAGTATATGTAAGGTTAATGAATTTAGTGAACTTGACTAACAAAGACTAATGTGCACATTAACAGATGTACTTTTTAAGGTTTTATGGGAGGCTGTGCATTGCTCAAAACTGTTGGGAACACCTTTTGAACAGTTGCCTTCAGAACTAGTTTGAGCTGCTCAATAAAACCAGTGACTTTACTCATACCTTGTTTTTGACCAAAGGTTGTATTCTTTACGTCATCCAGTCTTGTCTCTCATCCATTCTACCTCCTGGAATATTTCTCTCACATCTCTTCACTTCCCAAACTAGGCACTACCCTATTTAGCTATTAACTCCTCCAAATTGGTGCAGTAACCTCCTAACAGGTCTCTAGTCTCACTCCATTCCTTACATTGCAGCCAGAGTTTTCAATATACAGACCTGATCCCTTCTCTCCTGTTGCTCTTATAGAGGGCCAAACCCTTAACATAAAGCACAAGGCTGTGTGTGACTAGAGTCCCATGTAGGTTTCTGGCATAATCAGACCTCAGCAAACGCCTCCTGGGTCTTCCCACAGCTCTGACCTTGATCCACTGGGGCTATACCCTGCCCTGAGAAAAATGAGCAAATAAAGTTATACCATCCACTACGTCACACCATATAAGAAAATTAACTCAAAATGGATCGAAGGCTTAAATGTAAGAGTTAAAACTATAAAGTTCTTGGAAACTTAGTAAACATGACAATGGGCTATGCAGTGGTTTCTTAAATACGATATCAAAAGCACAAGCAGGTCTGGCATGGTGGCTCATGCCTAGAATCTCAGCATTTTGGGAGGTGGAGAATCACTTGAGGCTGGGAGTTTGAAACGAGCCTGAGCAACATAGCAAGACCCTGTGTCTACAAAAATTTTTTTTTAAAAAATTAGCCTGTAGCCCTAGCTATGCAGGAGGTAGAGGTGGGAGGATTGCTTGAACCCAGGAGTTCAAGGTTACAGTGGGCTGTGATAGCACCACTGAACTCCAGCCTGGGCCACAGAGAAAGATCCTATCTCTTAAAACGCACACATGCAACCAAAAAAAAATTATATTTCATCAAAATAAAAAACTCTTGTGTCTCAAACAACACCATTAAGAGGGTGAAAAGACAACACAGAATGGGAGAAAATATTTGCAGATCACATATCTAATAAGGGACTTGTATCTGAAATATCTAAATAATTACAATTCAGTAATAAAAAGGAAATAATCTGATTTTAAAATGGCAAATAATTTGAATAGACATTTCTACAGAGAAGATATCCAAATGCCCAATAAGCACCTGAAAGGAAGCTCAACATCCTTAGTCTTTAGGGAAATGCACATCAAAACCACAGTGTTTCCAGTTTACACTCACAAGGATGGTCAGAACAAAAAAGCCAGATAGCAAGTGTTGATGAGGATATGGAGACACTGAAACTTGCATATGTTGCTGGTGGGAAGGTAAAATGGTGCAGCCACTTTGAAAAATAATTTGGCAGTTCCTCAAAAAGTTAAACATAAAGTGACCATATGACCCAGCAATTTCACTCCCACATATAATATCCAAAAGGAATGAAAACATTTACACACAAACTTGTACACAGATATTCATAGCAGCATTATTTTTGATAGCCCAAAAGCAGAAACTCAAATGCCCAGCTGATGGATAAACAATATATCTATACAATGGAATATTATGGCCATAAAAAGGAATGAAATGATGATATATGCTTCATTGATGAACCCCGGCAACATTATGCTGAGTGAAATCAGTTACAAAAGGCTGCATATTATATCATTCCATTTACATAAAATGTTCAGAATTGACAAATCCATAGAGAGAAACTAGTGTTGGTTGCCAGGGGCTGAAGGGAATGGGAAAGGGTAATGACTTCTAATGGGTATGAGTCTTCTTTTAGGGGAGCTGCATAACTGAATATTCCAATATTCCAAAGGCCACACATTAAAGGGGTGAGTTTATGGTATGTGAATGATATTTCAATAAAGTTGTGATTTCAGAAAAAGAATTATACCATCCAACAATGGTTTTCTCCTGACTGTAATTACAACAATTGAACTATTTATAAAACTATGGATAAAAGGGCTTTAAAGTAAAAAATTGGTAGGACCTATAGTTGTCTACATGCAAGAAAACAAATATTTATTGAAAACCAACATCTTATGCTGCCTTTACAAAAATTATAACTGAGAAAATTATGACAGTGAAAGAGATCTGACCTGACTCTATCTTGCTTCTGACCTCCCAGCTACCCTTGTTCATTCCTGGGCATAGGCTAAACTAACTTTGGGAGGAACTTAGTTTATAGTTTAACTTTGAAACAAAGACAGTAACGGCCCTTTTCCAAAACAAGCCCTCTATCTACCAAATTATCTTTAAAAGCCACAATCCCTTAAGAGTTTTCCGGGAGACTGATTTGAGTAATAATAAAACTCCAGTCTTCCATACAGCCAGCTTTGCATGAATTAAACTCTTTATTCCAGTTCCCCTGTCTTGATAAATTGGTTCTGTTTGGACAGTGTGCAAGGAGAACTTGGGTGATTACACATCCAGGCACAATCCTAGGGTTCCAGCCAGTCCTTTATAAGCTTATTCCAAATGGAAGTAAGGAAAAGAAAGATCCTTTGAACAAAATCTATGGAAAAGAACTTTAATAGGCCTCATGCCTCCCACTACTAAGTCTTCAGGAGGAGTAGGACTTTTAAACAAATTCCCTTGATAATTCTGAGGCACGGTCAGATTTGGGAACCACCGAATTAGTCCCTGTAATGAATTACTCCCAGCCTCCAGTACCTACTTAACCCATTGTAATTTGGCTTCCTGCCGCATTTCACAAGTGAAACTGCAGTTACGGAAGCCAGGAATGATGTGTTGGTTGCCAGATCCAGTAACCTATTTTCTGCCTTCACCTTGCTTGACCTCTTCACAGCACTGCATGTTGACTACCCTCCTCTTTGAAGCTCCTTCTTTGGTTTTCATAGTCAACTTCTTTTCTAGTTCTTTTGTAAGAAGAAAATAAAATGTTAGGACTTCCTAGATTTATTAAGCCACGGGGAAAAGTTAAGCCCTGGAAACTGACTCACAGCACATGGCTGTTTTTCCTCTCTGGTACATGACCATTATTTCCTGACCTTTGTGTTGAAATGTTACATGCTAACCAGACACCTCATTCTTCATTCAAACCTAGGCTAAATGACATTGGAAATGGAGACTCTTGTGATTGTTACCTCTTTGCAATAGAATGTTAAGCAACCCTCTCAGAGTATAATCAATAGCAGCCAATCAAATATTACAGGTGAGCTTTCGTATGGGAAACATAATTCTATTCAGCACCACTGTTTTGTTTTGTTTTCTTTTTTTTTTTGATTTGTATAAACAATCCTCATTTTTTCCCACACTTCGTGCAGTTGATCACCATTCTTGGGTGTAGTTCTGCTTCCCTGATGGCCACCCTCACACTTTGCACTTGAATGAACTCTAATTGGATCCTGAGTTTTTTCATTATTTTAGGTTGACATTTCTATGCTTTTGTTCTGGCTGCTCCATCCATCCTTTAAGAGTGAAGATTCTCCAAGATTCTGTGGTTGAACTTTGACCTCTTCTACGTCCCTGAAGATTTCATCCTTTCCTATAGCTAAACTACCACCTGTGAAATAAAAATAAAATCATTTTCGGGTTTTAGTCATGAATTCTTTGGCTAGGCTAATGTCTATAAGAGTTTTTCTAATGCTACCTTCTAGAATTTTTATGGCTTCAGGTCTTAGATTTAAGTCTTTGATCCATCTTGAGTTGATTTTTGTATAAGGTGAGAGATGAGGATCCAGTTTCATTCTTCTAGATGTGACTTGCCAGTTTTCCCAGCACCATCTATTAAATAGGGTGTCCATTCCCCAACTTGTTTTTGTTTGCTTTGTCAAAGACCAGTTGGCTGTATGTATGTGGCTTTATTTCTGTGTTCCCTATTTTGTTCCGTTAGTCTACATGCCTGATTTTATGCCAGTACCATGCTTTTCGGTAAGTACAGCCTTGTAGTATAACTTGAAGTCCGGTAATGTGATGCCTCCAGATTTGTTTCTTTTGCTTAGGATTGCTTTGGATATTTGGGCTCTTTTTGGGTTTCATATGAATTTGAGGATAGCTTTTTCTAATTCTGTGAAAAATGATGTTGGTATTTTGATGAGAATTGGATTGAATCTGTAGATTGCTTTGGCAGTCTCATCATTATTTTAGGTTGACATTTCTATGCTTTTGTTCTGGCTGCTCCATCCATCCTTTAAGAGTGAAGATTCTCCAAGATTCTGTGCAAAGACGTAAATATTGATTCTTCCAATCCATGAGCATGCGTTGTGTGCCATTTGTATCATCTATGATTTCTTGCAGCAGTGTTTTTTAGTTCTCCTTGTGGAGATCTTTCACCACCTTGGTTAAGTATATTCCTAGGTATTTTATTTTATTTTATTTTTTGCAGCTGTTGTAAAAAGGATTGAGTTCTTGATTTGATTTTCAGCTTGCTTGTTGTTGGTGTATAAAACTATATGTTTTGTTGGTGTATAAAACTATATGTTCTCATTTATAAGTGGAAGCTAAACTGTGAGTACCCAAAGGCATACAGCGTGATATAATGGACTTAGAAGAGACTTAGAAAGGGAAGGTTGGGAAGGGGACTAGGGATAAAAAACTACTCAGGTGACAGGTGCACCAAAATCTCAGAATCTATCACTATATAATTCATCCATGTAACAAAAAACCCCTTGTACCCCCAAAGCTATTGAAATAAAATTAAAGAAAAATCCTAAGTGCCCAATTGAATGAACCCCTCTTGGCCAAGGTGACCCCAGAAAAACTTTAAAAACTACATCACCCAGCCATGGGAAGGTCAGTCATGCCTCACTGAACCCCCTTCCTCACTAACACTCGCCAGACTTTCCTAAGAGTTAAACAGAAACCAGACTTAGAAAGACAAAGAACACAAGACATCCCTTTGCTGACTTTAGCCAATTGCCTAACGCTGCAGGGGAACTTCCCTCCCCTCCTGCAGTTTCCACATGATAACTGACAAGGCATTCCTTCTTGATAAGTGACCACTAACTGCAGACCGGTTCTGCAGTTCTGTCCATGAAGGCTGCACACAAGGTACTTCTGTGTCTTCTGTTTCACGTTTTGAGGTATAGAGACTAATTTTGCTGCATTTTAATGTTAAGTCTCCACCCTAACATGCAAATGGGACATATGTGACATACATATTTGCTATTCACCTGTGATGTCCTCTCATAAATATTCATAGCTCCTCATATCCTTATAAATATGCATGCCTAGCCAATCCTTAAGTATAAAACTCCCATAACATACTCCCTCCCTAGAAGTGCCTACTTTCTGTCTCAGCCTGAGGCTTTGTTTCCCAGCCTGCAGGTTACAACTCTCTATAAGAAATAAATCTCTCCTTTCCAAATGTATCAGTCTCATGATTTTAAGTTGACATGCCATACTCTAATGCCTCTGTTGGAGGCAGAAAATGATTCAGCATGTTGCGTGCTTTGAAAATTGAAAGGCCTCAGAAATAAGTCTCAAAAGCAAGGTCTCTCTGACCTTTCTCCTATATCCCTGTCTGTTTGCTCCTCTTTTTAAAAACACTTTTATCTTTATATATTTAGAGGGTACAAGTGCAGATTTCTTACATGCTTATATATTGCTTAGTGGTGACATCTGGGACTTCAGTGTACCCATCACCCAAATAGTGAACATTGTACCTAATAGGTAATTTTTCTGTTTTTCGTTTGTTTTTGAGACAGAATCTTTCTCGTTGCCCAGGCTGGAGTGCAATGGCGTGGTCTCGGCTCACTGCAACCTCTGCCTCCCGGGCTCAAGGGATTCTTCTGCCTCAGCCTCCCAAGTAGCTGGGACTACAGGTGCATGCCACCATGCCTGGCTAATTTTTTGTATTTATATTTATTTATATTTATTATAGTGATGGCATTTCACCATATTGGCCAGGCTGGTCTCGAACTCCTGACTTCAGGTGATTCACCCACCTAGGCTTCCCAAAGTGCTGGATTACAGGCATGAGACACCATGCCTGACCTCCAATAGGTAATTTTTCAACCCTCATCCCCCTTCCACCCTTCCACCTTTTGAAGTCTCCAGTATCTATTATTTTATTTGGTATGTCTACGTATACCCATTGTTTAGCTCCCACTTATACAACATGCAGTATTTAACTTTCTGTTTCTAAGTTATTTCATTTAGGATCATGGCCCCCAGTTCTATCCATGCTGCTGCAAAAGATGTGATTTCATTTTTCTTCATGTCTGAGTAGCATCCCATGGCATAGATACTATATATATATTTTTTTATCCAATCCTTTGTTGATGGACAGGTTGATTCTGTAGCTTTGCTATGGAAGTTGCCTCCTTAGTGCAGGAGGGAGCACATCAGTCTCATATCTTTGCTATCATAAATAGTGCAGTGAAAACATATTAGAGTTAAAGAAAAAGGAAAGAAACACGAAAAGTGGCTCAATAGTCAAAGACAGGTTTGTTTTGGAGAATAAACCTGAGAGGGGCTTCTGGCCGATTTTTGGTCAGGAGTGTTCTCTTTTACAGACTAAGGATATTTAAGGGTTTAGGAAGAGGGGGGCTTATCGTGGGTTCAGAATTTTTCTATGTGAGGGAAAGGTTACTGCAGGGTTGTAATGTCTCTGGTTAGAGAGGAAGCTGTCCCCGGGTTGGCATGTTTCTGGTTGGAGTGGGTATATCTTAGGGGTTGGAATGTTTCTGGTTATTCTGACAGCCATTAGGCTGATGTTTTGAGGGCTGGATTTAGGCAGTTTTGTTTTATTTTGTTTTTTAATCAAGGGAAACTTAAAATAGTGGTGTTTGTACAAGATGGTGAAGCTCCTGTTCTGTTACATATGAGTGCAGGTATCTTTTTGATATCTTTTGGGTATATACCCAGTAGTAGGATGGCTGAATTGTTGTTCTATTTTTAGTTCTTTGAGAACTATCCATTCTGTTTTCCATAGAGGTTGTACAAATTCACATTCCCACCAACAGTGTGTAAGTATTCCCTTTTCTCTGCATTCTTGTGAACATCTTTTGTTTTTAGACTTTATAATAATAGCCATTCTGACTAGTGCAAAATGGTACCTCATTGTGGTTTTAATTTGCATTTCTCTGATGGTTAGTGATGTTGAGCATTTTACATGATTGTTGGCTGCTTGTGTGTCTTCATTTGAAAAATGTTCTTGTCCTTTGCTCACTTTTTAATGGAGTTACTTGTTTTTATTGTGGTTATTTGTAGATTCTGAATATTAGCCCTTTGATGCATAGTTTGCAAATATTTTTTCTTACTTTGTAGGTCATCTGTTTACTCTGTTGATTGTTTCTTTTGCTGTGCAGGCAGCGTTTTAGTTTAATTAGGCTCCGTTTGTCTACTTTTGGTTTTGTTGCGTTGGCTTTTGAGGACTTGGGCATAAATTATTTGCCCAGGCCAATGTCCAGAAGAGTTTTTCCTAGGTTTTCTTCTAGATTTTTATAGTTTCAGGTTTTATATTTAGGTATTTAATCCATCTTGAGTTAATTTTTGTATACTGCAAGGTACATGTCTAGTTTCATTCTTCTGCATATGGCTATCCAGTTTTCCCAGCACCATTTATTGAAAAGAGTGTCATTTCCCTAGTGTATATTTTTGTTGGTTTGGTCAAAGATCAGTTGGATGTAGGTATGTGGCTCTATTTCTGGATTGTATATTCTGTTCCATTGTTCTATGTGTTATTTTTATATCAGTATTATGCTGCTTTTGTTACTGCAGGCTTTTAGTATAATTTGAAGTCAGGTAAAACCTCCAGTTTTGTTCTTTTTGCTTAGGATTGGTTTGGCTATTCCAGCTTTTTTCGGTTCCATGTGAATTTTAGAATTTTTTTTTCTAATTCAGTGAAAAATGATTTCAGTAATTTGATAGGGTATGCATTGAATCTGTAGATTGCTTTGGGCATCACGGCCATTTCAACGATATTGATCCTGCCAATCCATGAGCATGGGATGTTTTTTCATTTTTGTTTGTGTCATCTAGGATTTCTTTCATCAGTGTTTCGTAGTTCTTAAAGAGATCTTTCACCTCCTTGGTTAAATATATTCCTAGGTATTTTATTTTATTTTTTCTTAGCTGTTGTAAATGAGATTGCCTTCTTGATTTGGTCCTTGGCTAGATCTTTCCTGATGTGTATGAACACTACTGACTTCTGTATATTAATTTTGTATTCTGAAACTTTACAAAATTCGTTTATCAAATCTAAGAGGGCTTTTGTGGAGTCTTTTTAAATTTTTCATCATCCTCCATGGTTGGATTTTGTGGAGTTTTTAGGGTTTTCCAGATACAAGATCATATCATCGGCAAACATGGATAATTTGACTTTCTCTTTTCCAATTTAGAATTGTTTTAATTCTTTATCTTGCCTGATTGGTCTGGTGAGGACTTCCAGCACTATATTGAATAAGAGTGGTGAAAGTGGGCATCCTTGTCTTCTTCCAGTTTCTTAGAAGGTTTTCAACTTTCCCCCATTAAGTATGATGTTGGCTGTGGGTTTGTCATATATGCGCTTTATTATGTTGAGGTATCTTCCTTCTATGCCTAGTTTGTTGAGAATTTTTATCATGAAGGGATGCTGAATTTTATCAAACACTTTCTCTGCATATATTGAGATGACCACATAGTTTCTTTCCTTAATTCTGTTTATGTGATGTATCATGTTTATTGATTTGTGTATGTTCAACCATCCTTGAATCCTTGGGATAAATCCTACCTCATCATGGTGTATAAACTTTTTGATGTGCTGTTGTTTTCAATTTGCTAGTATTTTGTTGAGGATTTTTTGCATCTATATTCATCAGGAATATTGATCTGTAGTTTTTGTTGTTGTTGTTGTGTCCTTGTCTGGTTTTGGTATCCGGGTGATACTGGTCCCATAGAATGAGTTGGGAAGAATTCCCTCCTCCTTGATTTTTTGGAATAGTTTCAGGAGGATTGGTTTTAGCTCTTTGTATGTTTGGTAGAATTTGTCTGTAAATCCATCTGGTCCTGGGCTATTTTTGTTTTTAGGAGTTTTTTTTTAAATTACTGATTCAATTTTGCTACTTGATATTGGTCTGTTCAGGAGGTCTATTTCTTCCTGGTTCAATCTCAGGAGATTGTGTGTTTCCAGAAATGTATTCATTTCCTCTAGATTTTCTAGTTTGTGAGCATAAAGCTGTTCATAACAGACTCTGATGATCTTTTGTATTTCTGTGGTATCACTTGTAGTGTCTCCCTTTCCATTTTTGATTGCGTTTATCTGGAGCTTCTCTCTTCTTTTCCTGGTCTAGCTAGTGGTTTGTCAATTTTCTTTATGTTTTCAAAAAAACAACTTTTAGTTTTGTTGATTCTTTGTATCATTTTATTGGTCTCTATTTCATTTAGTTCTGCTCTGATCTTTGTTATTCCTTTTATTCTGCTAACTCAGGGTTCTTCTTATTTTTCCTGTTCCTTGAGGTGCCACAGGGGGTTATTAATTTGTGATCTTTCTACTTTATGGGCATTGAATACTATAAACTTCTCTCTTAGCATTGCTTTTGTTGTATCCCACAGGCTTTGGTATTCTGTACATTTTTTCATTTCAAAAAAATTTTAAATTTCTGTCTTAATTTCTTTATTAACCTACTGATTGTTCAGGCTCTCTGCTCTTCTTTCACAAAGAATTGGAAGGGACTCTCTGGAATTTCCCTATCTAAGAACGTTTAAATGCACGTAAGACCCCCTCCCTAGGGATCTCACAAAATAACCAGGAAAGATCAACCATCTGAGAAGAGAAGAGACTGGGAGTCCTCACTGCACCTAGGCAGACTTTTCATCTAGTCTTCTGAGGGCAGCTTTAAGAGATTACCTGTTGGACTTTAGCTGTATAAGACAACTTTTGTTCCTGTGCAGTTCCACCCCTCACTTTCCTCCTGGGTCCATTCATCCTCCCTAATGATTTACTGTCCCTCAAAAGAATTGTCTACATCCCCCATCTGTTCCTTATGAAAAAGGGTATATAAACGTCTGTACCATGCTGGGTAATTGGGTAATCATAATGTGATTTTCCCCCATGCATGTTAATAAATCTGTATGCCTTTTCTCCTATTAATTTTCCTTTTGTCAGTTGATTTTTCAGTGATCCTTCATGGGGCAAAGGGAAAATTTTCAATTGGTCTCTACAGCTCCAGATCTATTTATGTAGTCTAGAAATAGAACTAGTTAGACTTTCTCCTGAACTCCAGGCTCATGCTCTAGCTTCGTTTTTTGTTTTTTTTTTTTTTTTGAGACAGTCTTGCTCTGTCACCCAGGCTGGAGTGCAGTGGCGTGATCTCAGCTAACTGCAGCCTCCACCTCCCAGATTCAAGTGATTCTCCTGCCTCAGCCTCCTGAATAGCTGGGATTAACAGGCACATACCACCACATCTGGTTAATTTTTGTATTTTTAGTAGAGATGGGGTTTCACCACGTTGGCCAGGCTGGTCTTGAACTCCTGACCTCAGGTAATCTACCTGCCTTGGCCTCCCAAAGTGCTGGGATTACAAGTGTGAGTCACCATAGAATTCTTGATATTATTGTTAACTTTTCTCTCTCTCATCTTCTACTCTATCTGCACAGGCACCAAATGTATGCTACCTTAGAACTAACTTGAGTATCTCACTCTGCTGTCTTCCTTTCTCTTCTCCCTTCTTCCCTTCCCTCAGAGCAAGACCTTATCCTCTTTTGTCATTATAAGTTCCCTGATCCAACTGATCCCAATTAGGAATCCTTTCAAAAATAAAGTGGATCGGGGGCGTGCCCAAGATGGCCGAATAGGAACAGCTCCAGCCTCCAGCTCCCAGCGTGAGTGACACAGAAGACGGGTAATTTCTGCATTTTCAACTGATGTACGGGGTTCATCTCACTAGGGCGTGTCGGACAGTTGGCGCTAGTCCACGGGTGCAGCCCGACCAGCGAGAGTGGAGGCAGAGCGAGGCATTGCCTCACCTGGGAAGTGCAAGGGGGAAGGGAATTCCTTTTCCTAGCCAAATGAAATTGAGACACACAACACCTGGAAAATCGGGTAACTCCCACCCTAATACAGTGCTTTACCAAGAGTCTTAGCAAATGGCACACCAGGAGACTATATCCCACACCTGGCCCAGGGGGTCCCACGCCCAGGGAGCCTCCCTCATTGCTAGCACAGCAGTCTGAGATCTAACTGCAAGGCGGCAGCGAGGCTGGGGGAGGGGCGCCCACCATCACTGAGGCTTAAGTAGGTAAACAAAGCGGCTGGGAAGCTCCAGTTGGGTGGAGTCCACCACAGCTCAAGGAGGCTGGCCTGCCTCTGTAGACTCCTCCTCTGGGGACAGGGCATAGCTAAACAAAAAGCAGCAGAAACCTCAGCAGAGGTAAATGTCCCTGTCTGATAGCTTTGAAGAGAGCCGTGGATCTTCCAGCAGGGAGGTTGAGATCTGAGAACGGACAGACTGCCTGCTCAAGTGGGTCCCTGACCCCTGAGTAGCCTAACTGAGAGATATCCCCCACTAGGTGCAGACCGACACCTCACACGGTGGGGTACACCTCTGAGATGAAGCTTCCAGAGCAAGAATCAGACAGCAACACTCACTGGAAAAAGAAATGAACA